AACAAGATTTGGCATGGAGTGAAATACTGGAAGATATAACTACTAACATAAGACTAGCTGATTTGCAGATGTACCAGGACAGAACAGCTGGGTCCAAGGAAAGCTAAGTTAGTCTACATTTCTCCTTTGTAAGGCTTGCTGAATAAATCTTCACATAGATGCATATTATTTATAAAGGTACACCCAATGTATTTTTCCATTATCCAGTTATTGAAAAACACAGCACAAGTGTCAATGCTTCAAAATTACATATTTTTGCATGTCTTAGGAAGATGCAGAAACAAATCCCTTAAGACTCCAAGTCATATCATCACCTTCACCCAAAGCTCTCTGTAGGGTGGCTTTGTAAGAGCAGCTCCCCAGCAGCTCCCCACCACATTTGTGTGGTGTCATCAAATGGCTTAAATTCCTCATCATCTTAATAACATCTCGCTACTTAAGCTGAGCAAAAGCCTATAAGCTGTTTACAAGTCAAATAGCAGGGGATAAAACTGAATGCAAGAAGCAGGCCAGAGGTGGCTAGGCAAAGTGCACTCAAATGAAATAAAACTTTCCACAAGTTTTACATAATGCCTCAGCCACAAGACAAGCAGTGACAAAAAGACAGAAATTAGTATCATGTGAAATGACCTCTTCAGTGCCCTCTGAGCCTCTTCTGACTTTAAACAGGTAATAGTGCTCTGTTGTTTTTGCACATAAGTTCTACCCCTAGTAGATCATGATACTGAAACTAAATGTAATTGAAAAAGCAGACCTGCCAAGACAGTACTGCCAAACACGATCCCTTCTGTTCTCAACCACCAAAAAAATCTCCTGTGATGTTAGATTTGCAGACTTCTAGCAACAAATGGAACTGAATATCAGCACTGTCACTTCCAGACATTTAGTTGTTCTGTTCTCAGTCCTACTGAAGAAGTGATAACACGCCAAGAGCTACTTACATAGAAAAGAATATTTTTGTAAAGCACCATTCAATTTTCTGTTTCACATCAAACATTAAAGCTAAACTTACCATCTGGGTCTTTAAAAGTCAATGTGATAAACTTGCTAGCAACCATGAACATGAATATCACCCAAAAGCATGCAGCTAGCAGCAGCCACTGGTGGTGCATGTTGTCAGCATGCATGTGAGCCATATAAAGTTGGCACTTCCTGTTGGAAAGAGAAAAGATTGACACATTAATTATTTTTGTTAGTTTAGAAAAAGTACTTTCCATAACCAAAAATAAAACTTTAATATGTATGTGTGTCATAAAACATAGCAGTAGATTCCACGTTTAACTTTTTGTCCATTCAGCTGTATTTTTAAGCAACATTAAGGCTGAGACAATGTAACCACTGGCTGCTATCAAAGGGAGGGTTCACTCCTTCACCCTTGTTCACATTCCCCCCTTCTGCTTGTGCTGGGAATTGCACTGTGTCTGACTGCTTGGGGAGATAGATCAAAACCCCCATTTTTTAAAAGAAGAGTTTATTTTTTGATTCAGCTTAGCAAGACAGCCCATTGTAGGAGAGGAAGGGAGACTGAAGAAAGCTGTGCTCTCAGTGGTAGATGTACCATTAACACTATACTTGGTTATCCCAAGCCAGCTTATGACATATAACATGGACTCTTCCCCTGCCCAGCCCACAGAAATTACAGGCTGGAAGCTACCAAGCTGGAACACTAAGCTGAAGCTGACCAAATATTTTTCAGTTTCCTTGCAGCACTGCCTACTACATGTAGCTGTATCCCTGCAGGTAAGCCTCAAAGACAGAACCTCCTCAGGAGGGCAGGAAGGGTTACCCAAACAATTGAGACAGCAGTTTTAATGTGCAAAGAAACCACCCACAGGAACTGACTGAATACACAGTTCTATCCTGATTTTTGAAACTGCTATCCTAATAAATTTTTTTCTATGACTGTAAGATTAAATATAAGGAAACCAATGATAAAAGAGATTGAAGGGCCCAGCCACTAAGAGAAATGGAAAATTTTAGGCTGTATCTTTAGCTGAATTTCCAACTTCTGATGGGCAATACACATGGGGGTGGACACCAGGTATCTGTGAAAGCTCCACTGCAAATAAAAAAATAACCCACATCCAAAACCTATAAAAGTATAGCACTATTATCTCTACTGTTGCTGGAGGGATAAGACACCTGAGGGGCTGAACTCAGGTGCTGAAAAGAGTGAATGCTTCCTTTTGAGAACACATGGAACACAACATCCAAGCATTTAACCAAAGAGGATCTAATACAAAAATCTCATACAATGACATCCTCACAACAATCCTGTAACTAGCAATAGGACCAAACTCAGTCCTAAAGTAGCCACATGCAACTTCAATGAGAGTCACGTCTGCATGGTTTGTGATCACAATTTCTATACTGGCATTTAAGTGAATTGCCAAGGAATACAAGAAATACCCTCATTCACAGTTATAATGCAAAAAAATGTTAGTTAACATTTCTAAGGAAGTGTTTATTAAGTTTCTCGGTCATATACCAGTATTCCACTTTCTTCATTCCCATAAAATTTCAATACCAGAAGTAAGCCTGGTTTTGATGTTGTTTCAGCATGTCCACCTGCAACATCACTACTACTGCGACAGGTGCCAATGCTTTTCCAACTAGCTTTTGCCTTCCAGCAATGCAAATGTTTCCAGGAAGAATTCTCTCTAAAGCTGACAGCAGTGAACCATCTTCAGGATATGCTGAAAACCTGTGCAGGCAGTCAAGCAGCTCAAAACAGACTTGGGACCCAAGTGATGTATGCAAAAATGGGTAAGAGGATGAAAAGAACTGAATATCTCCAGTTAAAGGGAAAAAAAATAGCTAGGATGGCAGTGTTGAAGCCTATTTTTATCTCCTCATTTTTCAGTTAGGTTTCTGAAAGTTTCTTTCTTTCCCCCCTCTTCTTTCATGAATCCATTTTTAAGTACTTTTAAAAACACCATACCTAGATATCAACTGTATTTTGGACAACTACAGGTGCTGTGACCTCCATCAAGACAATGTTTGTCATCTCCTGTTTTTTGCTGTAATTCCCTGGCTGACAACTGATCATGCAACATTCCAAACATGTTTATTCTTCATGATCTGGAAAGCTGTTGACTGGGAAATACAAATATTGTAGGAATTCCATCAGACTGGCCTCTTTTCAGCTAAGTAGTTCAAAAGTTATTCCCATCCTACCACTGCACTAGTGCAAGCCTGCCCTAAGATTCATGCTGAAAACCACCAGGTCTCAAAGGCCCTCATTTTTCAGTCTGCCATGAAATGCACCGTCTTCCACTTAGGCACCGAGATTTGTTACCTTTACTCTCAAACACTGCATTCATTTCCAGCTCTCACAGAAGACAAAAATTCAGATCTGATATCAAGACACAGAACTGTAGCAATGACATTTGTTACTTTTTAGGTAGCTCTGCTAAAACCATAAGAACTGTTCAACATCCAAAACGCTGAATGCAGCAGACTGACAGAAGCCTGCAGAGAACACTCTGCAGGAGGAAAAACTCTAACAATCAGCTATGGGCTTTTCAGAGGTATAATGAAAAGTCTGGGCCAAACCTCTCTGCCCAGCTCAGTATATTTGTCCTACATAAAGCAGGGTAGAAAGGCCTCCAACATTCATAGCCTCCCTGCTAGTCTGCCCACTTCCATAACAGTGATGGATGCACACCATTCAGTAAAGACTATTGATCTATATTCTCTTATGTAATTCATGTATTGGATTTCTAAGAAATTGTGTTAAATCACATGGGAAATACAGGTGCTGTGTGCTCTGACCTGAATGCAGTCAGTGGCGAGAGGACCCTGCGGCCAGGTCCTGTGCTGTAGGGGCAGGAGAGCATTTCAGCCAGTCACCCACAAGCAGTACAATTCCCACCTTAAGGACAGGCTTAGAGCAGGAAGGGGTCACATCTGCAGCCCCATCCATAAGAAGCACCACTTTTGCCCTTCAAGACGTGGAAGCTGAGAGGAAAACATTAAGCAGTTTTGTACACTCTTCTTTTTTTAATGTGCACATGAAATCTGCAACAATACTTATGAATGTGAGAGTCTTGTCAGAGGATCTGTCATAAAGAAATTATGATATTACTACACTGTTACTTCCAGCATCCTAAAGTACATCTGCATCAGCAGCTCATCACTGATCTCAAGAAGAACGATTCATAATTACAGACAGAAGTAACTCAACCATTATGCTCGAATGCAATGATCAGTGCTTTAAAAAAAATAATGTGTTTATGTTGTTTCTCTATCTCTACCTTAATATTTTTATTGTTTTCACATAGGGCAATTGCATTTCCTTTTTTATCTCTAACCTTGCTGCATTTCTGTTGCCTCTCCTGCACTTATTTTCTAGTAAATACATGTACTACCTTCTCGTTTTTCTCTTTAAAAGGCTCCTTCAGCTTCCAAAGCAGTCTTCTATTTCTGGCTGTCTAAAACACAGTTTTACTTTACAAGCAGACAAAAGCAAGAAATATGTTGAAGGTTTAGTCCATTTTCTCACAATGAAATACACAGCTCTCTGGTTAGTTTTTCCCTCTTACTGCAATTTACACTTTTTAGAAGCACCAGATCTCAAAACTCCTGTCCCCACCCATTCCTCTGTCCTTCCCTCTCAGGGCTGCCACAAAAGCAAACTGTCACAGATTAGCCAGATGAAGGGTTTTGCATGAGAAAAAAGGGGATCACCAACACACAGAGTCCAACACACAACACAAACATGAACCAAAGATCAAGACACAGCGTTGCAGGCTTGACCCGAGGCCCACGGGTAACCTGCTCCCTCGAATAAACACTCATTCTTTGCAGAAGACTGCTGTCTTCAAGTGAACGATGGGACAAAGGGTGAACGATGTAAGCAGCATTAAAACTCAGCGCACAGCCTCTGGCTCTGCAGTTTATGCTGCCTGCACAGGGGCTCCTTGGCAGGACAGTCCCTGCCCGCATCCTCGATGGCAGTGACACGCCAGGAGTCACTCACACTCCCAAGTGCTTGCCCATCAGCACATGATGACTCACATCACTGCAAATGGAACTGGTAAGCAAGGCCAAGCAACAGCTAACTGGGACAACCTACTTCATTTTCATCAATGCTTCCTTTGTGTTATTTTACAGGTAAGAAAATCTGGCCAATTTGTTCTACTTAAAAAAAAATTCAGACTAACATATATCACAGACGCTCCTTTGGCAGGTTGCGTGGTGCTACTTAATGTTCTAACATACATCGTAACAGGCTGGTTCTTTCCTAGAGCTCGCCTCCTCCCGAGGGCACTAGCAGGCCTGCGTGTCGGCTCCTCCAGCTCCCGCTGGGGCCCGGGGGTCCGTCCGCACGCAGTTCACCTGTCAGCGGGATGTGCACCCGGAGCAGGGCAGCAGCAGCGCCGGCACCGCTGCGTGACCCGCCCGGGCCCGGGGCAGGCCCGGCGTGCGCCCGTCCCGCGGCCCCGGGCTGGGCCGGCCCCTGCCTGCCCTCCGTGCCCGGCCTGACAGACAGCAGCTCCTCTCCAGCGGGCAGCCCACGCCCGTTACTGCTGGGAACGGCAGCGTGCAGGCTTCAGAGGTGGTCCATTCATTCCGTAAGAACAGAGCGGTCCCCGCCAAGAACAGGGCACAGGGTCGTGCTCTGACCGGCAGGGGACGAGCCGAGGCAGTGCCAAGCCCCAGTCCCAGCCCGGCTCCGGGCGCAGGGACCTGGGATGAACCGACATAAACTTTTCTCATTCTGGAGGGAAGCTGGGCGGGCTCCCCCTCACCCGGCAGAGACGGACAACACATGCCCGCAGCGCCCGCTGGCATCCCCGCTCGAGCCGGGGTGCCGGAGGTGCCTCTGCCCTGGGCTGGCGGCCGCCAGGCCTCCCCCCGCAGCCCTGCCCGGCCCCTCCCCGCTTACCGGCCCTCCAGCGCCGCTGCCCGCAGAGCCGGGCTCCCGCCTCACTCGGCGGCACGGCCGGCCCGCTCGGGCGGCCCCGGCTGCCGGCGCATCACCCCCGGCCGGCTGCGGGCGGCGGCGGCGCCTCCCCGGCCCCGCTCAGCCCCTGCCGCCGCCGCCGCCCGGCCCGGCCGCCGCCGCCGCCATCTCCTCCGGGGCCGCGGGCAGGCCCCAGCCCCGCCGCCGGGAAGGGGAGGAAGGTGAAGGCCGCCGCGAGGACGGCCCGGTTCGGCTGCGGGAAGACGCAGCGCCGCACCCGGCCGCCCGAAGGCGGGAGGGAGGGAGGAACAGAGGGCGGGCTGGGCAGCTCTGCCCTCCCCTCGCCGCCCCGCCTTTTCCCTCCTTCCCCTCGAGCGGGGTTTTCCAGCCGGACTCACGAGTATGCGCTTGTGTACGTGTGTTTGGGTTGTTACGTTTGGGTTTTTTAACTGTTAAAGTATCTTCGTAGGTCACTAACGCTCGTGTTTAAGAAAAATATATGCATCTGGAAATTACAGAATCATTTATGTTGGAACAGACCTCTAGGATCTTTGAGTCCAACCGCTCCCCCAGCGCTGCCAAGGGCACCACTAAGCCGTGTCCCCGGGGGTCACATCCGTGTGGTTTTTGAACGCTTCAGGAAGGTGATTCCACAGTTGCCCTTGGCAGCCTGTGCCAATGTTTGACAACCTTTCCATGAAGAAATTTTCCCAAAAACCTGACCTAGATCTCGTTTGGTGCAACTTGAGGCTGTTTCCTCTGGTCTCTTGCTACTTGGGACATGAAATCGGTCCTTGCCTGGCTACAACCTCCTGTTAGGGAGTTGAAGAGATCGATAGAATCCCTTTCCGTGTGATTCCTCGTCCCTCATGTTTCTCCAAACACCTCTAACTGTTTCATTTTCTGAAGCCTACCGTCAGGCAGGAACGCTGTCCTTGGTCAGGCAGGAATGAAACAATTAATCTAAAAGCAGCTGGCAGAGCCGGGCATTCCCCAAGCCCTCACCCTGATGCGGCAGACACAGGCCGGAGGCAGGCTCCAGGAGAAGAAAGCTGCCCTTAAAGCCCTGTGAAGAGCAGCTGTGGTGCGATGGCAGGTGTTATCTGAATGCTGCTGCAGCCCAGCCCAGGCTCCTTTTCCCTCAGAGGCGCTGTGTAGTGCACACAGCTGTGCACTCAGTGCTCTGCCCACTGGACAAGCAAAACGCTCACCCACAGGACTCTGATAGCCACAAACCCCATCAAAATCAGGCGCTGGTGATGTGTCTCTTTTTAATATCTATTTCAAACAGGTCCTCTTGAGGACATATTGCATTCTTACAGTGCACTTGTCCCTGTTTAGACCATGATTTAGACCATGACCTGATCCACGCATTTTCAGACTTGACTACTGTGGTGCACTTTGCTGAAGCCTGACCAAGGAAATCTAAGGATTCTGTCATTGGTCCAGATACCATGGCCAGCCTATGGAGTAGAACAGACTAATGCAAGTGTGTTGGCAGCCATGTGTTCGGTGCTACACTGATGGCTGCTGGTCTCCAGTGAAGCAGCAGAAACAGAGATGTCACTGGGAACCAGTGGACAAAACCCAGTAATCAGAAACCCAGTTCTCTGCCTGACTCTGTGTGTTTGTATCAGCATCTTGGGACACCACATCCTTGTGCATCCCTTCCTCTCTGCCTGTGAAGTAGAAATGACGATTGTGACAGTTACTTTTTAAGCAAAGCACACTGGCACTCTGTGGCTGTCACCAGTCTGAGTCTTGCACAAGCTAGAAAGCTGCTCCTTTCCCCAGGTTTCAGTGATGACTACAGTTGCAGCTACACATGGATTTATTAATAAGCAGTCTCCAGCTGTGGAACCAATTCCTGCCAGTTTATCAGGCTCAACCTAGGAATTTTAACCTTTCAAGTACATTGTTACTGACATGTATAATAATTAATCCAGCACAAAAGAGACCAATTTTCCAAATTAAGCCCAGTTAATAAGCTTTGTTGTCAGTAATCGGGCCTGAAAGTATCTGATGAAGTTGAAGAATGTGTTGCATAGGCAACTGTACTGTTGGATTATACAGTTGCTAGTTCAGGCCAACAGGATTCTTGCTACTAATAATGCTAAGCTGCAGTAGGGTTTAGTGCTTTAAATAGGCAGCAAAATCATTGTGTGAGTCTGGGTTCTTTTTAATACTAGAGAATTTTTACATCACCAGAGCAGAGCAATGTGAAGCATAATTAAGCTGGTGAAAAGTCACCCTGCTCTCTCTGGAATATTCTAGAGTGTCTTTCTCAGATAGATGATGCCAAAGCCAATGGAAGTGATGTACCCATTTTTTCTGTAACGACATTGGCCTAAACCTAAAAAAAAAATCATGTTAATAACATGTTCAATCTTCAATGTTTATTCCACTAAAAAAGGGGGTGTATGCCCTAATAACTCTTGTGTATCTTTATTCCAGGTTTCACACTTCTCCAGGAAGGGTCTTACAGAAGATCCACATTTGCAGCTTGGCCAGTCAGGGAAGACCAGGTGTAGCTCAATCAAGCATTTTAAGAAGTTGTTATCTGTCAGTGGCAGGCTGTCTTGACTGCCCTTAGTATAAGTTAATTCTAAATGGCATTTAAGCATACCAAAATTTTTAAATGAGCCCCTGTCTTGGACAAGATAAGTAATCATCCATACTGGAGTTTATATTTGAACACATCCAACCTAATCACACTGACAGAACTTTCATTTTCCTTGACCTTCCAAGTTCATCCTATTCAGCAGAAGCCTAGGCTTGCCCATATTGTTAAACTTATACTATTTATTTGCTGTTATTTCAGGATTTAATCAGTTACTGGGATTAGTCTTGGTAGTCCTTTTTGTTTCCATAAGAGCTGACCTTAAGACAAGTCACCTGCTCAGCATCAAACACTCACGAGGATTTAAATAAATCTTATTTAAATCAGCAGGAAGGCATGCTTTTCCTAGTGCATTACTAGTGAAAACATCTATCTGCTTCATGACTGCATTTCTGAGGCATGGCTGATCACCAGAGGAGATCTCTTGTGTACAAGTACCTTGATTTACAGGTCAAACATGGCACCTTTGGTATGTAATACATTTATTAGGGTGTGATCTTTATCACCAGATTCTGTCTCTTTCTGGAACTTAAGGGAGCTTATTTAAATGTGGTTTGGGTTGACACAAGATAGAACATATAGAATACTTTCTGGCCTCTACATTATTAAGAGACACTGTGGAAACAACAAAAAAACCCCAACAAAACAAAACAAAAAGGCAGGCCAATGAATCAATGAATTCAGGGAAGTACAGCCTCATACAGATTCAGGATTTACTAATACAGCATAAATATAATATATCAAAAGTAGCATGTGTTTCCTTGCATAGGAAAGATTGAGGTGTGTGGATGGACTGGGGGGACTTAGGGCTAATATCAGTAAAATCATACTGGCTGTAGCAGGGGTAAAATCAGATGGGTAAGCAGCAAATGAGATGTGTTCATTCAAAGATTAAGTTAACTTTTTATTTTGGGTTAAAAGCAAGTTTTACCTCATGTTGTGTGCCTTGGAATTCTTAAATTTTGCATATCATTACACCATTTGGTTGCCCTTTAAGAAGGAGACAAACAGTTTAGATTGAGGTAAGTAGGTCATTAGCTGAACCATCTAATTTTTCTTAAACTCTTCAGATATTTAGTCTGAGTTGGTAGTCTGAAAAATGAAAACAGATTTGTGAAGTTTATTAATAGCAAAGAACCAAATGTTCTGCTAGGACTGGACTAGAGTAGTTCTTTGCTTAATTATCAAATCAATGTCAATTAAAATTTAACCTAATTATTCAAAATTAATTATATGGGTCATAAAATGAGTGCCGTCAATCAGCAAATTATCATGTCAATGTAGCAAGATAAGTCAATCCTTTAAACAAAAATCAGATATAACAATTGAATTTGAAGTCCCAGTTGTGGGTGTTTTCCAAAGTAGTGAAATTAAGAGAATTGACTGAATCACTTAGTGTTCAAAACAAGTTACTGTATTGCAAAGTGACTGCTGCCCTCTTTTAACCCTCCCCTTTCCCCACAGTCCAAATCAGACAGCTGGATTCAGCTGGCAGAGTCAAACTGGCAAGCAGCTGAGCATTAAATTTACCTGCTGCATTCTCCAAGAGACAAATTATTATTTCCAGGCTATTTGCAGGTGACAAAG